TCAAATCAAATAATTTTATTGGTGTAAATTCTAATACAGGAATGATACCAGCTGACATTTACAAAATACAAATACAAAAACAGACAAAAATAAACAAAAAACAAATATACAGAGATATGTTTTCTCAATGATAAGAGACACATATCTACATTGCGTGGAGGTGTTATTCATACTATATTATCTCTTCAAGCTATTACAATAAGCTTTAATACTACAACAGTTCTTAACAACATTATGTTTGCATCAGAATCATAGATATCGCTTATTCCAGCTACACATACAGTACAAATGTCAGTATCATTACTTTTCAAAATGAAACTAAATCTTGTTCAGACATGTTAACAAAAGATGGAACTATATCACTTAAATTACAAAAGAGTATATTTCTATTAAATTCTAACGCTTTACATTTAATGAGGAAATGGAATTCATCTTCAATTCCATCCTTGCAAAGTGGACAAATTCTCTGTTCTAAAGGTGTTCTAGTATATCTACCAACTTCTATTAGTAATTTGCTATTACTAATTCTAATTTTTACCATTTTAGAAATAACATTTTTGTTAAGGTCCAGTAGGAGATATTTTTCTAATTCGTAATTATTTTTAACTTTGCGATACGTTCTTAGTTTATTACCATGACTATCTTTATTAGAGTCACAAAAAAGAGCTTGTTTCCAGGATTTTATGAATTCCTCCTCTAATTTCTTTTGAACTGAAAAAAGTAATTTTGTCTTTGACATAGTATTTTGATTTTCCCAAACATGCTGAAAACCAAGTTTACCTAATAACACTTTTATTTTACTACAAAAACCATTAGACATGCAAGTTTTCACTGTATGCTTTCTTTACCATACTCTCGCTATTCATATTAATGATATGAATCCAGAAATTAATTGTATTTTTAAGGGCTGACAATGAAAGTGGGAATAAACCTAATTCAGCAAGTACAGCATTATTCACAGCACCTTTATTTACACCCAATAAAAATTTAGCAAATTTGATTTAAATCTTATTTGGACTAAAGTTTTGTAGACGGAATCTGATTTTTTTGTTCGTTTCTTTTCTGTAAGCTTTGTCCTTCCACTTATGTATACATGTTAAAAATGTTTCACTTGTGGTCGATTACCCTTTGTTATCGTTTATACTTTTCACACAGATATAAATTATCCTAAAATTTTCAATTCTTTAAAAAAAACGGAACATGCCAACGCCTTTCTAGCACAGGCACTTGTCTCAGAAAAAATAAATCCTATATACCGTAATATAACACATATATAGGGGAACAAATTCTAAGACAAGTGCCTGTGCTTTCTAGTTCAACATACACATTTACATGCAATTTACCGGTAATTATTCGTTACCTTTGACTCAAGATTACGCTACACTGACACTGTCAATTTCATTCAAATAATATTGTGGGGTCAATTCTGGATTGATTTTAACGAGTATGATACGACTAGAAGCAAAATTGTCACTAGTTTATTATTTTATTTTTAATTTCTGTTGAAATAAATACGAGCGGTATTATGTACCCGCTCCTGCGTGAGGCTAAAACAAAAAAAAGTTGCAGACTAACACACAATAGGATATTAAGATCTAAGATTTCTGATTGGAGTCAGCTAATTTCTTTGAAATTTTGACCTAGCAAAGGAATACTTGTTTGGGTTCATGATAGACCGCACAAAGTCATTAAAATTATGATTTCTCTTTCATGTGCCCATTTCCCGTTCTTGGAGTAGGGGAGATAACTTGCGTTACTAACGACGCACGTTTTGTATCCCGAATTCCGCTAGAGGCGTGCAATTACGTATACTTCGCCTTAATATGATTTAACACTGTCACACGAGACAAACATTTTACTCCATACCCTCATTTTGTCATGGCGACAGCCCCACCTTTCATCCAGGTCGACCCACTTAATAAACCTACCTATTTGAACTATTGGTATTTTGTTCTCGTTCTGCATATGTATGGAATATTTGCCACAGGGGGTAACCAAACAATAATAAATCAATCATTCATTCTCAAAAAATTTTATAAGACGATGCCCGGAAAATATATAAATATGTTTCATAAATCAACACCTGTACAAATAAATTCACCGTTTTTTATGCTCAAATAGCCCTGAGGTTCAGTGTTGGATATTTCCCACTTGGTGTCGTCGTAGTTTATTCGCGGTTCTTCAAATTGAAAAATCCAACTACAAGTGTCAAACAATAGATGGGATTGGAGTTTATATAGCAATTAAAATTGTTTCTTTAATGAAGTTATAGTGAGACCTGTATACTATATCTAATATTATTTTCATATTATATTTTTGATAATAAATGTAAAACAATAAATACATTCAGAAAAATTCAAAAATAGATGGGATATTTTATAAAAATTCTTCTTATACTGTTGAACTTCCGATTATGATCTAAAATAAAAATATTTATGACATCTTATTTGTTTAATAATTTTAGAAATACAATTATAAAAAATAACAGTATCGTTCTGCACCTAAAGTCGGACTCTTAAGAAGCAGATCTCATTGAGCCGGCACATTTACGTAATTCCTGAGTATGAATGATATTTAACCATTTTTTAGTTATAAAAGAAGCTGAATTATATATTTCACAACCATAATAATTGTGTATTGCTTGTTACGTGCAAGTAATTTCATACAATTTCATGCACTTAGTTTGTAAATTTTGAAGATGCTTATGCAAAGTTTAGTTCCTGTCAAAAATTAATCCCACAACAGATGCGAGTCCAGGATTTTGATAAAAGGGGCCTGGGGCCCCAAAGTAAGCAAAGTTTGGAGTGGGACATGTAAAAAATATATGCATTAACCATATATGTAGCTCCATAAGAGGACCGGGTACCCTGTCCCCCTAAATCGGCCTCTTCTAAAAGTTGTTTCCAATATATGACTTTTAAAACACATAATTTGCATATAATAACATTAAGCCGTATGCTGAGAATACTTGATTAGGGAAATATCATCCTTTAGGTTCTAATAGGTGAAAGCGAAATATATTGTATTAATAAAGTTATTAGGTTTCATAGGTTGGTTCGTACCAATTTGGTACATCTGTGGACACAATGTCTGTAAATTGTGTCCTTTTTAGTACATATTTTTTGGTAGCAATTAGATACATATGTGGGACACAAGTGTCCACTTAGTATAATTTTTTGTTTGTACCAATTAGATACACTTGTGGTACACAATGTTTGTAAATTGTGTCCTTTTAATATTCAATTTTGTTCGTATCAATTGCTGCTCACAAGGAAGCTATTAAACCAAGAGTTCCAAATGGGGAAGTTGAAGTCATCCCTTCGTAAATTTTACGGACGCAATCACGAGTTGGTTGACCGTTATGGAATAACCGTTTCACAGATGATATCGGATATGTTCCTTATGTCGTAACTACAATACCCTCCCTTTTTACGAATGTGACTTACCGAATTAGGCTATTTACCGGATTTGTAATAACATAAGCAACACGACGGGTGCCACATGTGGAGCAGGATCTGCTTACCCTTCTGGAGCACCTGAGATCACCCCCAGTTTTTGGTGGGGTTCGTGTTGCTTAGTCTTTGGTTTTCTATGTTTTGTCATCTGTACTATTATTTGTCTGTTTGTCTTTTTATTTTTGGCCATGGCGTTGTCAGTTTGTTTTCGATCTATGAGTTTGACTGTCCCTCTGATATCTTTCGTCCCTCTTTTAGATACATTTGTAATAATACAATGTCTGTAAATTTTGTCCTTTTAGTAAATGTGTTGTTTGTATCAATTAGATACATTCGTGGGACACGATGTCTGTGAATTGTGTTTTTCTAGTATATAATTTTCAGGTATCATTTGAATACATTGGTCGAATACAATGTTCGTAAATTGTGTCATCTTAGTAGGTTACTTTTCCTAACATGTATATATGTCAAGCAATAGTACGTTACTCAGATTCAATGCTGGTAAAGTGTATCAAATGAGTTTTTGGTGAGGCATACAATAGCCTTTACTAGTATCGATTTGTTATATTCTTCGGTAAATAATATTATGAGAGACATTTTTTTTTTGAGCTTAAAATCATTTCATGAGTCACAAAAAGTTTCTCGTTAGTACTTTTGTATGCGCTCAATTGTACATAGTTTCATTCCGATAACTTCGGTGCATTTGTCAATGTATATTATATATTGCGTACAATACCCTTTGAACTCTGTTCAACATATTGTCCAATTTTAAATATTTGGTATCTAAGTAAATAAGATATTAAAGGTAGACAGGCAGTGACTCATGATATTATATGCTCCTTAAACAATGCTTTTTTTAGATGACGGTTGATGCAGCTTCCCCTTGGGGCAGCGTTTTTCAGTCCCAAAAGAGCTTCTCACGTTATGGCGGTATCTGCTTCCAAAAATTGAGATATTACACTATTATAAGAAAATTTATAGTTAATGGGAGATAACTCTAAATTATTTGACTTTTAAAAATTTTAGATTTTAATAATTGATGCCATTTGTCTTTTTCACTTATTACAAAATATGTTTTTATGGGTTGAGATTGTACTAAAAGTATGGTATATTAAAATTTACAATGAGTAGTTATAATTGTAGTGTATGCTAAATTTTATACATGTATCTTTTTATATGAAATTTGAATAATAACTGTCACATTTTTGGCCTGCATCATCATAACTTGTGTTAGTTGTTTTTGCCTTCAGCGGATCATAAAACTAAATGATTGTATACTTTTCTTCTAACAAACTATACTGAAAAAAAAACAAGATGGAATTTCCAATCCATATAGTGTAACTCAAATCATACTCTTAAATTTTGTCTGCACTTTATATCTCTAGTCATGGATCTACTTGTCAATCTACTTTTTATGCTAGTAAATAGGAGTTTGTTTTTTCAAAGTACTCATCTTGCGTGACAAATAAAGGTGATGTTCTTGTTATTCATTATTTGAGAAAACGCGCCGTCTTACTAAATCTAGCTAATTATATAAACCACATGTATGAAAATACGTTTTAATTTGAACTTGTAATGGTACCGGTGACAAGTATAAGCATTTAAAAAAAATAAATGAATACAAATTATATCTGTAATCATTTTTAATTCTATCAGTTGCATCTACAATAAATCACATTAATATCATATTCTCTCTCTCTCTCTCTCTATCTCTCTCTCTCTCATTACTATTTAAAATAAGAGAGTACTATTACATGTATTTACAATAATTCTAGATATAACAATATCCATAAATTCACGCTTGCTAAACATTAAGTTAAATTAAATAGATATATATAATATATATAAAAAAATAAGAAAATCACATTGCATTAACCAATGATAGCTTTTATCTTGTTATACTTTCAATGTTGTTTAACTGACAAACCGCACTTTGTAGCCGGATTTGTGTACCTCATATCACCCGGCAAGTCATTTAGCATACAGTTATCTGCATTATCAGCTTTATCAAAGCTAGGACGGACCTTATGTAGACTAGCTATACTTCTAATTGACATCCTACGTTCACTCCTTAGTGCTTTCCTAGAACAAAAGAATACAAAACAAATAAATAATGAAAAATATTAATCGATTTGCCTTTTCTGAATCAAATATCAGGAATAAGTAAACGTTATTCAAGAATTATGTTGATTTATACTATTACGCCATTATATATTGTTTGTGAAAATTGATAAGGAACATAGTTCTATCCACTTCCAAACAAATGTGGTTTGCGCGCTGAAATCGGTTTCATACATACCAATATAGGGATGGATGGGGTATATGTCAATGCGACAGCAACACATGGACCTAAAAATGTAAAACAAAACATTTGGAGGGCAACATCAATCTTCAACAATAGACAGGTTTTTAAACAATATGTCAGATCTAAATCGTCTTGATTCTACAAATGTTGTGAATTTGAAATTTAACAGAAACAATTCTCCAGATAACGAAATATATTAAGATATGTTATACGATAACTATTGTTATACTTTTATTTTAATACAACTTGGTTGTGTAGCGGCTTGTGGATGGTCAGTCCAGACGCGGGTACCATTCGTCATATAACTTGTGCTTTAGAATAAAAATGAATTAATTCCATGTGTTTGTAATTTATATGATTTTCATATTTCTAAAGGTTGTTTGATAATCTGAGTTAGAACCATTAACATTTCTTTTAAATCACTTCAATATTTATTTTCCACAACTCTTTTTCTCGAATAAAACTGACAAAGACTATTCTGGAAACACGCGTGTTGTAGTGAATTCGGCAAAATTCTCGATTAATTTCATAAATCTAATATTTATATGGACTAAATATACCTGGAAACTATATACTTTTTTTTTAAAACAATTTCATATATTTGATATTCAATTCATACTTTTCTTCTGTTAACTCTCTTGATATTTATTTCATATATAATTTAATAAAATTGAAGTAGAACTATAATATAGTACCTGAAGTATTTTCTATATATCAGTATGATACCGAGTACCACGGCAAAGCACGCAATGGTTACTACAGAGGCGACAAGACAATAGATGTAGCAACAACTTTGTCTGTATAAAAAAATTAACAACAAATAAAACACAGAAACCAAAAGCAATTGTTGAAACATGCACACTTAAAATGAATATTATCTTGATTCTATCATTTACATCATCTGACTATGTAAAACGAATGTAGATTTATAGCGTTAGTATGTCTTTTTTTTAATTAACAGGTATTCTGAACACACAAAGATATGACAAACTTTCTTTTTTTTTTCTTTGAAACAGAACAATATCTGTATTAATAGAATAATTATGTTCATTTAAAAATTAATGTAATTGCTAATAATTGAAGAAGAAAAAACTGAAGTTAGTGTATGGAAACAAAAATAAGAATATCAGATATTGTTAACTGTGATGAAACATGCCATAAATATTATTAATTATTTACATTAATTCAAATTGAAATAATTGTTTTGTAATAAAGAAAACAAATCTAAAGCATAATTTTAGTGACTACATTTAATTGAAAAAATTTCCCAAGCAGTTGTAATTATTTTTATAAGTAAAAGCAGACACCAAAAGATTACATCACAAGTTCTTGTTATATTAAATTTTATTAGGTTAAGTTAATACATTGATATTTGAACTGTACACGTAATGTTTTGTATAATGTTTGAAATGTCAATTACAATATCATCCGATTTGATGAAACTTGAGGTTCAGTAAATTACTAAAATAAACAATATCAAATGAATGTTATGTGAATTATTAGTAATATAGACAGTAACAAGTAAACACAAAACAATGCACTAACAGAGTTATGAATTAACTTTAAGAATTGAAGAAAGTTCACATATTATTGTAATTAACAGAATATTTTCACAGATATTACAAAGGTCTTCTTTGGACTTGTTAAAAGAAACTTATCTTTCAATGCAGTCCTCTTTTGATATATACTTAGTAATTCTTACGGAAAAGGAATAATTATGCGTAAAGTACACAAAACGTTCATTTGCAATACAAAAGAAATATAAAATACCTTCACTCTTTTCGTCAGCTGAATGCGTAAATTGGTCAGCTTCTGTTGTAATAGTATAAGGCACTGAAAAATTAAAACTTAAACATTTACCTTGTCCAATTAAATATTTCAATTGGACTATAGATTAAATTTTCATAGGTGATTATTTTATTTCAAGTAGTGTACGTATGCCAATCAATATACTGACTACAAGTTATACCCGATACAAGAGAAAATTCACACAACCTTCTTGAATTAGCTAAACCCAATCATATTCAACGTACACTTTTGTGCATAGTATACAAGTCTTATCATCATGTCAAAGACTTTTTGAGACGAGAAGAGTCAATTACCGATTAGTTTGGGATACTTTGGTGAGTCTTCCTCTCGAAATAAATAGAAGATTTGTCTGATAATTGAACTCATTTCAGGTTTTGATGAGGAATGACGGTTCCCTTTATTCAAACTTAAAGAGAAATGTTATATTTCTTGCGACAAGAATTGACAAGATTTAAATTGAATATTCTTAGAAGCAGCACCCCCTCCTTCAGAAACAGAAATGGTTTACCGTTTCAAGTTTTGACGAGTGGATACCGTCATCCAAATTTAAAGCGGATCTGGTCAAAATGAAGGCACTAGCATGGCAAAAACAAAGTGTAATGGGCGGACTAAAGACGCGATGAAAATATTATGAAAATCAAATGATAAAATGTTTTAACAATTCAAGCGAAGAATCAAACGGCCTGAATTATAACAAAACAATAAACAAAAAAACAAACATAAGAGACAGCAACCACAACAACCTCTGAATTAAAGGCTCCTGACTTTAGATAGGCACACATATAATGTGGCGAGGTTAAACATGTTTGTGAACGCTCCACGCTCCAGTGGCGTTAGACAAACCAAAAGAACACACAGTAAAAATTTTATATCAATTAGTACACATCCAACGGACTTAATGTGGAGATTTCATAAATAATCTGGAGAAAGTATGACCTTGCGCACTGCAAAAAAGTAACATAATATCGACAGGATGTAGAACCATAAATTTTCATCATGTATTTCAATACATGTTTAGTAATGTTTTAATTTATCTAATCAAATCAATGTTAGTATCTACAAAAACAATATTCAAAGATCGTTATACGTCGTTAAATTTATATTCTTTTTAGAATAACTTTATTCCAAGGATCAATGAGCTAACATGGATCGTGGCTTAGTTTAAGGGCAATATAAACAACATTACCAGAAAAATAAAAAATGTTATTTAATAAGTGTTTTTAACGTATTTTTTCTGGCTTTTGTCAGCGGCTTACGTTTGTTGACATTTCATTGAAAGGAAGATATATATGGTTGTATACGTAACTATCTTCTGATGACCTCTGCTTATCAGTGAATGCAGTGTGGTGATTTCTACATGTTTTCTTTTCACACTGGTAACACAGTCTTGCTGTTACATATGTTTGATCAGTTACCTTTACTCCTTATACACTGTAGATATGCATATTATTTAAAAAATAGACTTACATGTACATTCACTTTCATTTCTGGAAGCAATAAATTGCGTTGAATAACCTACAGGACAAGTTTTACATGATAACTGTCTACTTGTGTCTTGAAAGTATCCTTTTGGACACATTACACAAAAACCACTACTCCAGTAAGTTCCAAATGGACATTCAACTGAAATATAGAAAACTCCAGGAATGATAGTTCAATATTTTGAAAAGTTATTACAATTTTTGTGTCATTCATTTGACCACCAAAGTCGAAAATTAAAGAGTCTTTATAATACAATCTTTTCAACAACAAATATAGATATTCATAGAACCATAACGTTTTTCATTGCTTTACATTGATTCTTTTACTTGTAAGACTCTATATACCTTGGCATCAAATCTCAATTTCTTTCAAAATCTACACAAATTATAGTTTTGAACAATAATTATTGTGCAATGGTAAATTTTTGTATTCTTTCTTTTTTGCTAATGTGCTTTGTCTATATACCTTTTTGTTTTTCTTTGTTGACATATTTGTTTGTTTTTATAGTGATTAAGATTATAACACAATGTTGACTGCTGTACCCCTATTTTTGACATTTTTACCTATTATGTCTGTTTGTTTGGTCACACATTGTTGTCAATATAAAGGAATTTTATGCGACTGTCATTCATACATGAGTGGTTTAGCTAGCTATAACACCAGGTTCAATCCTCCATTTTTTACATAAGAAAATGCCTGTACCAAGTGAGGAATATGACAGTTGTTATCCATTCGTTTAATGTGTTTCAGCTTTTGATTTTGCCATTTGATTAGGGACTTTCCGTTTTGATTTTCCTCGGAGTTCGGTATTTTTGTTATTTTACTTTTTTCTAGTATTTATAATTTGGTAACATATTAAGCAATATGATACAATGTTGCCAGAAGTATAGGCACAAAGCAATGATCATGTGAATTGTAGGAAAAAATCAAAGACTTTTTTAATGTAAAGCTATTATGGAATAAATTATGGGCTGGAGGAGGGGGTAGTATTGCCTTTTATATTCCTTTAAAACGCTATATTCATATATGAGAATATTGTGTCAGACGAATGAATGTTTACATCACATAGTATATATTTGATGGGTCATCCTATTTCTCGATTAACGCTTACTTTTTAGGCTTTGCATTTGTGTTTTCTCATGAAAAGATGAAGATACTATTATGTGTTTGATGGATAATAAAAGAGCATTTGCTGCGATTTCGACAGTTTAAGTTGCAAAACATATAAAGTATGTTTTGTTTTTGCTTAAAAAAATTACAAAAAAAACATTTGGAATTATCATTCGTAATTAACAGTCAATTAAGTTTGTTTCAATTTCGCCAAAAAAATCCCCAATAAGCTTTCATATATAATGTATGCATATTTTTGCTGTATGAAAACAATTCCGACGTACAACTGCCAATATAACGTTGCCAACGGCGATATTTTATATAACAGAAGGTTAAGAACTTTTAGCTTGATTAAAGTTGACAAAAGCGCTCTTTGATACAACATTGTTCGTTATTGTTATGTTGGTGATTTTGTTATTTTTCTATCGGTATAATGTGAGTTACCCGCTCTTTATGTACTCAGTTTTATTGTTATTTCTCTGATCGATATTAGAAGCGATTGGATTTATACCACAAAAACTAGTTTCACAATTCCATGGAAAAATTGTACTTTCCAAAGGTAAGCATCTTCTCCTTTGCACCACGGATCATACGATTTCTAAAAAATCTCAAAGGCTAGAAAATGTCAAAACTTCTCTGACTGATGGAATTGGATATGTGAGATCTATAACCAGGCGGAATAACTAAATCTATTTGACTGAGTAGATCTAGATTGATTACGAAAATTTATTTTCTGCTTAGATAATCTAATCTATAAATGATTCAATTAGGAACATTTCACTAATGAAAATACATTTTCAATTAATTTATACTAAAATACGAAAGTATATACACCAAAACACTTGCCATATGGCGGATGATTCCTTCGCAGATTGAAATATACCAGCAAGCAGCAACAATGACTTATCCGTAGTTAGATAAACGTATGACACTCAATGTCCTTACGTGACTCGTGTATTTTGGATTTTTTTGTACATTAACACTTTTAGGACAGTAATTTGCTTAAAATGGGCATATGATATAACGAAAAATAATACATATAATAAACGATTTGTCTTTTATCTACTTACCACATAGAAGTTCTTCATTAACTGTTCCCTCGGGACATGAAATGTTTGTTGTGAATGATAAGGTAGATATGTCTGTTGTATACAAGTTGCCATTTACATCAATTGTCAATATATCTGTGCCGTTTAATTGGTCAATAGACTCTTTCATGTCTGTGTAACCTTGAATTAGATCTATAAGTTCTTGTGACACTGAAAGTAAAAAGTACATTTATTAATTTCTATCAATTTCATTTAGAATTATTATATATATTACCTTGATTGTCTATCTATTTATCGATGTTTTTGGTTCTATTGTTTTCTACTTTTCTACTTTTCGTCTTTTTATTTGGGAGACCTTTTGGTTGAGTAGTCAAAGTAGTACAACTACTGTACAACTAGCCTATTAACACTGAGGTTGTGATTTCAAATCCCGCACGTGGCAATCTTAATTGACTAGGATTGCCATTTTTCCTACCGATGGTCGGTGGTTCTCTCCAGGTACTTCGGTTTCCTCCTCAAATAAAAACTAGCCACCACAAAATAGCCAATAGTAGCAAGCCTTTCAATCTTGCAACATTTGCACATAGCTTGGAACGTTATAATAGCATTGATGAAAAAGCCTCAGATACTAGGTTTATAATTTTTGTAAACCAGATACGTGTTTCGTCTACAAAAGACTCAAGAATGACACTCGAATCAAACATGTTATCAGGCCAAATACAATACGAAGTAAAAGAGCATTGTGGACCAAACATTCTAAAAGGTTTAGCCAAATACAGCTAATGTACATTTGTAATCTATTCATGGGGTAGATAAATTGGACATGTCCCACTGATACATAGACAACATGACTTAGATTAGCAACACAAGACCCATGTGATCTATATTTTGTTTTAGTATCGATAACTAGCATTTGATTCTTTTATGTAAACGTTTATAGAAATCTTTTGATACATATAATCTTGATAATGACAAGATGCATATTTACGACAAAAATTACATTTGTAAGAATTAAGAAGTTTGTTCTCCTATTTTTTATGTGCACACATTTTACAGAACAGAACTTCGAAGTAAAAGAAGAACAAAAATATTTACAGTTATACAAGCAAATGCCTCTTTCGAAAATATTTCTTTCAAAGACATTTTATATTATATGTATGTGCATAAACAATTTCAGATTATGTTATGTTAAATCATTTCACCTATATTGTTAGCAAAGAATTCCTGCAAATTCAAATCCCCGATTTGTGTGAAATCTGTGTATAATTGAATTGTCACTTCAAAAGATGTAGATCGTTTCTTTCTACCACTATT